TGTGACTGGAGGCTTTTTGTGCAGGACACAGTTAAAGGTTTTACTATTCTTGCCAATGTTTGAAGGAGAAGCTAAGTTGTAACTACTCTAAGGCAAATCTTGCTGGATGACTTGGATTTGACTACTGAGATGAAACCAGAACCTGAACTAATTGAGGAATTGTGCCTTGAGACTGCTGGTCTAAAACTTAGATTTGCATTGGGTGACATTCTTTACCTCTCCTCATTTCAACTTCTTTCCTTAATAAACTCCATTGTTAATACCATAACTGTAAGTCTCCGAATTAGCAAAGAATAAATGAACTGTATCAAAAGGAATTGGCAGACACAGAAGAATTTCATGAAACAACATATGAGCAAGAGCCTATGGTGATAAAAGGAGAAGTTTAGGCTGCTTTGAAGGAAATGGCAAAAAAATAAGGCTGCAGGAATAGATGGTATACCAATTGACATATTTCAGTTAACAGATGCTGCCCTGGATGTGCTCACCAAGTTGTGCCAAGAAATCTGGAGAACAACCATTTGGCCAACTGACTGGAAGAGATCTGTATTTGTTCCTATCCCAAAGAAAGGTGACCCAACAGAGTGTGGAAACTATAGAATAATCTCACTGATTTCACATGCAAGCAAGATTTTACTGAAGATTATCCAAAAATGACTGGAACAGCACATCAGCAGAGAACTACCAGAAGTCCAGGCTGGGTTTAGAAGGGGTCGTGGTACTAGGGATATGGTAGCTGATGTTAGATGGATCTTAGCTGAAAGCAGAGAATACCAGAGGAATGTCTGTCTTTGATTCATTGACTATGCAAAGGCATTTGACTGTGTGGATCATAACAAACTGTGGCTGACTCTGAGAAGAATGGGAATCCCAGAACACTTGATCATGCTAATGTGAAACCTATACTTGGACCAGGAGGCAGTTGTCAGAACACAGCAAGGGAACACTGCATGGTTCAAAATCGGGAAGGGCGTACGCCAGGGATGCATCCTATCTCCATACCTTTTCAACCTATATGCAGAACAGATTATCCGGGAGGCTGGGCTCTATGAGGAGAAATGTGGGGTCAAGATTGGGGGACAATTTATTAACAATCTGCATTATGCAGATGACACAACCCTGCTTGCTGAAACTGAAGAGGACCTGAAGCACCTGCTACAGAGGGCCAAGGACTGCAGCCTCCAATATGGATTGAGGCTCAATGTCAAGAAGACAAAGATTCTCACCACTGGACCAATTGGCAGCATCAGGATGGATGGTGAAGAGATTGAGATTGTACACAGCTTTAGTTTGCTTGGCTCCACAGTCAACACTCTTGGCACCAGTAGCCAGGAAATTAAAAGGCGCATTGCCATGGCAAAATCTGCTTTTGGGGACCTCTCCAAAGTACTGAAGAACAATGGTGTCTCTATGGAGATCAAGGTGCGTCTGTTACACGCCATGGTCTTTGCAATCACTTGTTACGCATCAGAGAGTTGGACAATGACCAAGGAGGATAGAAGGAGAATTGATGCCTTTGAGCTGTGGTGCTGGAGAAGAGTATTGAGAATACCATGGACTGCTAGGAAAACAAACAGATTCATCCTGGAGAGGGTTAAACCGGGCTGCTCCTTGGAGGCAAGGATTCTGAGGCTCCGTCTAACATACTTTGGACATGTTGTGAGGAGAGACCGGTCCTTATAGAGGGACATCATGCTTGGGAGGGTGGAGGGATGGCGCAGGAGAGGAAGGCCTTCTGTGAGGTGGATTGATTCAGTGACTGGGATAATTGGGATGGGAGTGTCAGAGACAGTGCGATTGGCACAGGACAGAGCAGAGTTTAGGGCTGTTGTACATAGGATCGTTATGAGTCGCAAGCTACTCGACGCCACATAACAACAACAACAAATGAACCTCTTGCTGCTGCTATGACCCTAGAGGCACCGTGGGGACTACAGGCTCTTTATCTGATTTGGGCTGAGGGACTGTGCTAGTCTCACTCCCTCTGGCCCTTTTGCAGAGATGCTCATGGCCCTGTGACCTCATGTCCCATTTTCTTCTCTTTAGACATATGTGAATAGAGCATGTTAGTCTATTCATAAAGTGATTGGCTAATCTCACCAATCTACTAGGGGATTGGCTAGTCTTGCTGATAAATTGAGTGAATCCAGCAACAAAATTAGAATGTCTTTCCCCTCAGCTAAGAAGAAACAACAATGTAGCTTGTCCTTCAGGCCCAGAAATTCCTGTGCCAGCTCTATCTGTGGCATCGGAAGGAGCTATGGCCAAAACAGAGAACCAGAGATCCAGTGTGAGATGGAATTTACCTTGGGACTACTATCTCCCACTGACAAAATCAGAGCTTAGTTAAAAGTTTTTGCCCAAGTTTGTTGGACAACTGGGGGATGAGAATGAGGGAGAGCTGATATTGGCAGAACTGTGAACTTTGTTACACTTTTTTTTAATCCATAAGACTCTAAACTATGGCACCCACAAACACATTTGGAAGCTCTCCTGGCTCTACTCTGCTTCTAGACTGAATGTTACCCTTTTGACTTATTCAGTATGGTTCTGTGTGGTCTGTGAGTTATTGCATCAAATTTTCGAGCCAATAAAGCAGTAATATTGATGTTGGGATGAGTACAAAAGGTATTGGAGCGTGGAGGACATGCCTGGCCTTATGAGAATTGGTTCTGTGTTGTTGCTGTTGTCAGGTACAGTTCCCCTTTGTGAGACTGGTAAAGGTAACATATAGCCATTCCCACAGGACCCTTGCCCTTCTTACGAAAAGAGTTTCCTATATGATTAACATGTTTTTATCATCAAGATGATGATATTAATCTGCTTTTAATCATGGCTTATTTTTAAACCTTATTGTTGATGAGCAATTTAATAGTTCTCTTGGAAGAAGTGCAATCAGGGTGCTCGTTAGAGGTAAGGATGGGAGATTTGTTTCACTTTCTTTGAGAATGTTGTCAGAAAAGGCCAGTACATGGGGAAGGACATCATGCACAGAGAAGTGGATAACCAGGGAGAGAGAAGACCTTCAAAGGAATGGAATAACACAATGAGTCTAACAATGGATTTAAGCATAGCAGAGATTGTGAGAATACTATAAAATCAGGCAAGATTTCACTGTGTTATACATAGGGTTACTTTGAATCAGAGTTAACAGTGCCTAACAACAGCATTTTAATGAAATCCTTAGATACATCCTCTTGTGTGTGAATTGAAATAAGTAGAAAAAGCATGTGACGTTTTCATACTAATTCCATGTGTTAGTATGTAGCCAATATATATTTATTTAATTTTAAATAGTTTTCAGCTATTTTTTTTACGATGCAATTGTCATGGTTATTTAGTTATACTGTAACAGAGATATCACAAATGGATGGCTTTAACAAATGATAATTTATTGTTTTATAGTTTAAGTTTCTACAAGTCCAAATTCTGGGCAAAAGCACTCTCTCTCTGTCTTGAGGAATGTTCTAGTTTGCTTCACTTCTGTAGTCCCAATAACCCTTGGAGATTTACATATCTTGACCTTTTTTTGTATTAAGGAAAGACATACTCCCAGTAATTCTATTTTAGTGCTACTACAGTTTTCCTCTCCTCCTGTATTTTCTCCCCTTTTTGTTGTTGTTAGGTGTTGTCAAGTCAAGCGACCCTATTAACAAAAAATCTGAACCCTATTCTATCTTGTACTATCCTCACACTTCTACCTTTTGTTAAATAAAAGATGTTACAGATCAAAGCCCTGGGAAATGCCACTTAGATCAGGGATGTGATAGGATTAAAGGTAACACATCCTATTCTAAAATCTTTTACAACTGCGTTCATTACCCAATCATAACTTCCACATCATACCTTTGCAGCCATATATTTTAGGTGTATACAGTTTGGTCCATGACAGCTGTCATATGTAGCCAGGTATGTTTTTAGTGCAGTAAAATGCAGTGATAGTAACACATGCTTAATTAACAGTGAGGAGTTTGTGTATTAGAGAACTTGAGACAGTGTAGGAAGGAAGATGTGAAAGAGAAGAGGGAGAATCTGAGTTTGTAAAATATCATCTCTTAGATCCAGCTGTGACTTTATTAAGTTGTATTTAAATTTTTATCATATGAAACTTTAAGGCCAATGCTTTCCAATAGAATTTCAGGCATACAGTGGTTTGCTTCAAGGCCCATTTACTTTCAAGCTCTTGTTTTCCCTTAGCGTTTTCCCCAACTTCCAAGTTGAATCTTAATAAATTTTTACTTAAAGATGTTAGATATTATGGAACATTATATTAAATAAGAAGGAAGAAATTCCTTCAACTTATGTTCAGTCCAAGAGAATGATACATTAGAAGCATAATTTTAAATCTATTCCATCTCTTTCACTGTGTTCCAGTGAGAAACCCTAGCTGACCCTCTAGTGGGTTTTCAGAGGCTTATGTCCTTAAAAGATACTGAAATTTCTATATGTTCACCATTACCCCAAAATAGACTTAATGTATAATAATATTTTTGAGTTGTTAGTGGTTGTGATAAGGGAAAGATTTTCTGTGACTATAGCATACAATTATGGGATACAAGGCATTTCAGGAAATGTTACTGATACAACTTATAATACTTATAAGTAATAAAATATAAATATTGAGAAAATAATCCTGTATGACATTTCTACTATTCAATTTAAAATTTAATTATATACTGGTAAATAAATGATGCTAAGCTGTTTAAAGTTTCATCAGCTGTCTTTGAGATTGATTTTCATCAAAATTACTGTACTAAAATGTTTTCTTTTGTTGTACAGACTCAAATAGCAAACCTCAATTTTAAAATCGGCTCTTATTTGCAAAAAATGCTTTGACATAGTGCATTTGTTCTGCCTGGGCAGCAATAAAGGATTGTGGTATCATTTTGAAGAAGGTTGTTTGACAGAGCCTGTTTGTTTATTTGGGGTAATGTGAGCTGCATTCAGAAAATGCCATATTTTGTTTCATGATTGTATACATTCTCTCCCATTGCTCGCAGGCAAGACTTGTAAGCAGAGAAGACACGGATTTAGACCTTTTTTCCATGACCAGTGGAAGTGCTTTGTCTATGAACAGAGAAAAAAAACCTCAAGCACACAGACACTCAGCGGGATCTTCAAGTAAGTTGTGGTTTCCTTCAGAATTAATTTAGAAATCACAAATGAATTGATGGAACCTAATGCCAGCAAGCATTCTTTTACAGATGGGGGAGGCTGCCCACAGCCAGAAAAGCACAAAAAAATGTGTAGTTGGATTTTTTTTTCCCCTCTTTTTTTAAAAGCCTTCTTTTAACAGAAACAAAATTAAATTATTTCTAAAATTAACAGCATCGGTTTCTCTTTTAATTTTATTTTCTGACTCAATCATCCCCCCTGTGGATCATATTGAATTCTTTGATCATTTATTTCTAAAAGAATTTTTAAGCTAATTGAAAAAGTTGAATTTATATATCAAAGTAATGTATTTTTACCCTTTGTCATAGATTTAATAGATGCCGTAGGTAAAAATTTTTAAGGAAACTTAACCAAAAAGCAGAATTTTCTAATAACATTATACTGTCAAAACACATTGATTTCAGATAGTATGTCTATGGATTAGTTGACATTTTATTATGTTTACTAATAGTGACTTTTAAAATTATTTTAAATTTATTGTACATATCTGTTAATTTGGAAAGAAACTTATTTTTTCCAATATATACAAATATCATGGTTTAAAGAATTGCATTGCACCCACTTTCAACATCTTCATTTTACCTACACCTTAAGACTTTTGCAATCTCTTATAAAATATTAACATGTTGGTGGTGGTGGTGGTGTACACTGTTGAGTAAAGCTGACTCATAGCTGACCCTGTGTGTGTTAATTTTATCTGATATCACAGTTTTATCAATTTCTTCAGAATATGTTTAACAGCAAATTAATTTAATTATAAATAGTTTGTTATTCTTTAAAAACTGGTTTTGAACTTTTTATTAATATAGTTACATGTACTTAAAGTTAATATTTGTTTGAAAAGAAACAAAATACAGTCACTCAGATTGTTCTCTAGATAAATGGAAATGTAAAAATTACTCTTTTAATTTCCATAGAGGTATCTGAAATTAATAGATGCCAATTGTTTTAAATACTTTAATGTATTCTGTTTCATTTTGACAGCAATTAATTTATCTTTTCAAATACATTATTTAGTGTCTGCCAAACTGTAAATTTCTAAAAATACTTGTATTTTTCTTATTTGATTATATAATCTGGTTATTGAAAGATTGCTTTAGTCAGTTTAATTATCAAAGTTATGTTTTAGATTTATTTACCTAAGTAAAACTCTTTAACTAATTTGAATTTTGTTATAAGGTGTTAATTAAATAAATTGTTAAAATATATCCTCTACTTCAGAGGGAATATACTAATCACTCAAAATAATAAGTATACGCTATTCATTTTTATGCATTGCCTATTGTGATTTTTTTTTACAAAAAAAAATAAATCCTCTTGTGAGATCTATACATAGACCAAAAAACAATAGTCTGAACAAAACAAAGAACACTAAATGTTTTAAAATCAAGAAAGATATGCATCAAGGTTTTATTCTTTCTCCATATTTATTCAATCTGTATTTTGTTGTTGTTGCATGCTGTCAAGTATGACTCATAGTGACCCTATGAACAATAGATCTGAACTCTGTTCTATCCTGTGCCATCCTCATACTTCCTGACACCCAAGAGCAGTCACTGTGTCGATCCACCTGGTAAGAGTCTGCCTCTCCTTTGGTGACCCTTCACCCTTCCTAGCAGACTCCAAAGAACCTTCCTAGCAACATGTCCAAAGTATGTGAGGGGAAGCCACATCATTCTTGCCTCCAAAAAGCACTCCAGCTGCACCCTCTCCAAGACTTATCTGTCTGTTCTTTTGGATGATTCTGTATATTGAGCAGATAATTTAAAATAGGGATGTAAGAAGAAGAATATGGAATAAGGTTTACAGGAAGACTCATCAATAACCTGCATTATGCAGATGATACAACCAACTTGCAAAGAATAAAGAAAACTCGAAGTATTTACTACCGATCATCAAAGACTACAGCCTTCAATATGGGTTACATTTCAACATCAAGAAAATAAAATTCCTCAAGATTAGACCAATAGGTAACATAACAGATGAAAAAAAGATTGAAGTCATCAAAAATGTCATTTTATTGGGGTCCATAATCAACACAGATAGTAGCAGTAGTTCAAGAAATTGAAAGATGTACTGTCCTGGGGAAATCTACAGCTAATGACTAAAGTATTATGGAGATGTCAGTTTAAAGATTAAAGTGTACCTGGATTAACCCATGACAGTTTCATTTGTTTCCTTTGCATCTGACAGAAGAAGAATCTGACAGGATTTTGAATTGTGGTCAAGAGAAGAGTATTTAATATTTCATGACTTCCAAAAAGAAGAAAAAAGTCAGTCTTGGAGGAAATGTAACCAAGATGCTTCTTAGAGGCAAGGAGGGGGAAACTTAGTCACACCCACTCTAAGCATGTTATTGGAAGAAGAAAACATGCTGGAAAATATGGAGAGTAGCAAAAGAGAGGAAGACTCTCAACAAGATAGATTGATATGGAGACTAAAATGGATTTAAACTTGGTAGAAATTATGAAGTGGATACAGGACAGGGCAAGATTCACATCTGTTGTTCATAGTTGTAGTCAACTCAGTGGCTCCTAATAGCAAAATGTTAATTATAAATTTGTTTGATATCACTTTGAAGTATTGTTGGAAACAATTTAAAAAAGCTAAAACACTGGTCTACTTGACAGAATGATAAAGCTTTGTTTTTAAAATGTCTTTAAATGTTAATGTATTTGTTGTTGTTATGTGCCGTCCAGTGACTTGCGACTCACAGCAATCCTATATACAAGAGCCCCAAATGCTGCTCTGTCCTGTGCCAACCTCCCCGTCTCTGACACACTCATTCCTACCACCCCAATCACAGAATTGATCCATCTCATTGAGGGTCTTTCTCTTTTGCACCATCCCTCCATTCTCCCAAACATGATGTCCCTCTCCAAGGACCAGTCCCTCCTTGCAACATGCCCAAAGTATGTCAGACGAAGCTTCAGAATCCTTGACTCCAAGGAGCATTCTGGCTTTACCCTCTCCAGGACAAACCTGTTTGTTCTTCTAACAGTCCATAGTATATTCAACACTCTTCTCCAGCACCACAGTTCAAAGACATCAATTCTCTTTCCATCAACCCTATTCACCATCCAACTCTCTGACACATAGCACATAATTGCGAAGACTATAGCCCAAATCAGGTGCACCTTAGTCTCCAGCCTGACATCGTTGCTCTTTGGTACTCTTGAGAGGTCCTTCAAAGCTGACTTTCTCAGTGCAGTTCGTCTCTTGATTTCCTGGCTTCTAATACCAAGAGTGTTGAATGTGGAGCCAAGCAAACTCAAACTGTTAACTATCTCAATCTCTTCACCATCCAAACTGATGCTGCCAATTGGCCCAGTCATGAGAATCTTTGTCTTCTTGATGTTGAGTTTCAATCCATATTGAGGCTGCAGTTCTTGACCTTCTGCAGCAAGCTCTTTAGGTCCTCCTCAGTTTCAGCAAACAGGGTTGTGTCATTTGCATAACGCAGGTTGTTTATGACTCTTCACCAATCCTGATGCCACATTTCCTCCTCATACAGACCAGTGTCTTGGATGATCTGTTCTGCATACAGATTGAAAAGGTATGGAGACAAAATACATCCCTGATGGACCGCCTTCTTGATTTTGAACAATGTAGTGTCTCCTTGCTCTGTTCTGATGACTGCCTCTTGGTCCAAGTATAGGTTTCGCAAAAGCACAATCAAATGTTGATGCTGTGGCTAATTCTGAGTGGAATGGGAATCTCATAACACTTGATCTTGCTAATGCAAAACCTATACTTGGACCAGGAGGCAGTCATCAGAACAGAGCAAGGAAACACTGCATGGTTCAAAATTGGAAAGGGATATGTCCTAGCTCCAAAACTTTTCACTATATGCAGAACGTATTATCCAGGAGGCTGGGCTATATAAGGAGAAATTTGGCACAAGTATTGGAGGAAGACTCATAAACAACCTGTTTATGCAGATGACACAACCCTGCTTGATAAACTTGAGAAGGACCTGAAGTGCTTGCTACAGAAGGTCAAGGACTGCAGCCTTCAATATGAATTGAGGCTCAATATCAAGAAAATAAAGATTCTCACCACTGGGCTGATGAGCAACAACATGATAGATGGTGAGGAGATTGAGATTATTAACAGCTTTAGTTTGCTTTGCTTCACAATCAACACTCTTGCCACCAGCAGTCAGGAAATTAAAAGATATATTGTGATAGAAAAGTCTGCTGTTAGGGACCTCTCCAAAGCACTGAAGAGCAATGATGTTACTCTGGAGACTAAGGTGAACCTGATACAGGCCATGGTCTTTGCTATTACTTTCTATGTCAGAGAGTTGGACAACGACTAGGAAGGATAGAAGGAGAATTGGTGCCTTTGAGATGTGGTGTTGGAGAAGAGTATTGAATATACCATAGACTGCTAAGAAAATGAACAAATTTGTCCTAAAGAGGGTTAAACTGGACTGCTGCTTGGAGGCAAGGATTCTGAAGCTTCATCTGACATACTTTGGATATGTTGCAAGGAGGGACCAATCCTTGGAGAGGAAAGTCATGCTTGAGAGGGTGGAGGGACAGTACAGGAGAGGAAGACACTCTATGAGCTGGATTGATTCAGTGACTGGGGTAATGGGGTAGGTGTGTTAGAGACAGTGAGATTGGCATAGGATAGAGCAGGGTTTGGGCCTATTGTTCATAGGGTCACTATGAGTCACAGGCAACTCGACGGCACATAACAAGCAACAACTATTGTGAAATGCATAAGTTTCATCTTTTATATTTATCACACTGGTTTGTAGATTTTAGAATATACAATGTTACCTTGAATTAATTTCTGAAAAGCATTCCCTGAGAAGGTAAAATAATGCTATTTTGTTTTTGTAATTTAAAATTGTATAAGTAGCACTGACCCAAACACTAATGAACTTTAAATTCCTTTTATTAAGTAACTACGTGAGATAACCTACTAAGAAAAATAATGATGAGATATATATATATATATATCTCCTTAGATGGGTCACTGACCT